ACCAAGGTTAGAAGGAAAGATTTCAAAAGCAATCGGACATCATTTTAACCACATCAACTTTCTAGTGAGACACAGACTTTATTACAAACCACTCTCACCTCAGTGTTGATTTTGGGGGGTTTTATTTACTAAAGTGTGTTTGCAAAGCATGTTAAATTATTATTTCTGATACACCTCACCTGTATAACTCAATATTTCCTTGTGAAACTTAAGTTTCCAGTCCGCTTGAGCTGAACAACACCACAATCTTAAGAGCACTGAAGCAGCTAATCAGAGCATAGCTGCCAATAGTAAAAATTCTTTTCAGGCATTTGCTTTCTTGGCTCAGAGCCAAGCGTGGGTGTGGGGTGTTTGTCCACTCGCAGTTTGGTGGGACCTTTTAAGTGTTGAGAAGTTAAAGGCATTTCTGTCTTCTTTTGAAAGGACAGCTTAGGAGTTCATGTCAGTAGGGGTGTCAGCCATGAAAACTGTGTGTGTGTGTGTGTGTGTGTGTGTGTGTGTGTGTGTGTGTGTGTGTGTGTGTGTGAGTGTGGGAAAGAGGAAGGAACTTTGACCTCAGTTGTATCAAAATAAGACTGCAGAAGAGAGCAGCAAAAACACAAAAAAGAATGGAGGAAGGACGAATCATCAGCTTGAGATGTTGCATGTGTGAGTTTGCTTTTGGCAGGCCTGTATGTGTCTCTCTGTGTATGTGTTTCAACACATTGACACGAGTGAAGGTGCTGCAGCCTGAGCAGATCATGACTGGAAGATTACAGCACCGTGCTCTATTATTACACCCACAAAGCTAATCCACAGTCACAGGTTCTAGCAGGGAACCTCCTCATTCTGGCCTCAGCTATTTGTTTAAACCCTCCCACATCCAATCACAGCTTAGTCCCCAAAAACAAGGTGTAGCAGGGATTTCAAGATCACAATGATTTCACCAATGATTTCCTGGAACAAAAAAAGGTTTTAGGCTTCAGTGGCTGATTCCGTGTGATGCACGCTGCATACTTGTGTTGCGGTTTCCTCAAGATAAAGATGTCTTAAAAATAAAAGTCAATTTTTGAGACAGTAAATTTGAAAACAGAGCAATTTAAAAACTGTGTTCTTTGAAAACTGTGGGCCTTTAAGGATAATAGTTTTAAGGGTTAGAAGGATTTTTTACTTTCAAGAGACTGGAAAACATAGCAGAGGACTGCAGGGGACTGTACTATGAAGAAGGAAGTTTGTACTATGAGGTTTTCCTGTACTCCAAAACAACTCAAAAACCTGAGACCAAAACTAAGAAAGATGATAAAAACTACATTGTGACATATTGTTTCATACTGCTGTCCCATAGGAACATTTAAAAAAGCAAATATTCACATATAAATTATCAGAAAATTCTTTTTATGTAGTTTCCTACATAAGCTGCTCCTAATAAACAGACTTTACACTCTGGCTCCACTGCTAAAAAAAGATCTTGATCAAAGTTAATGACAGATCAATTTATTTGTGCAGACATTTAGATGTCTGGTTTCAGAGCTGAACACAACTGGAGCTTCAGCCCCACACATGTGAGGTACAGAACAAAAACACAGTTTTACCATATCCGCTTTATTTTTGTGCCCCTCCTTTAATTGGTTTGTATAACTTTTTCTTTTCTTTTTTTTTAAACATTAAATTGTGGGCACAACAAGCCTCTGTAGCTTGTCATGGAATAAAATAAATATCCAAAAAGAGGTTATATTATGGAGCTTACTGGTTGCACAGGTATAACAGAACAATCTGAACAGTATGATATATATATATCATACTGGCAACCACACATACATACGTCTTGTTGTTATAGGGCCGATTCTCACAGATCTCTGGGGAGAGGTAGTACGGTGTCCCAACACAAGTCCTGGCCAGCTCCATGGTACTACACAATGTACAGAAACAACACTATTAGGATAAATAAATTAACTGTAAATACAAGTTTATATGCATGCTATCAAAGAACATACACTAAATTACTAGTGGTCTCATAAAGCAATCTCATAAAAATGTTTTTTTTTTAGTAAGGGCACTCAGTGTAAACAGTTGGTTGAGGCAAAGTCTTGAAGGAAGCATTTGTTTTTGTGTTTTTGGTCAGCCATGTAAGATGGAAGTCATCATTAGTGGTGACGAGAAACATTAAATATATGTTCTGGAGAAAAGCAAATGAAATGACTTTCTGGAAAAATGTAAACATAAACAAGACCAAACATAACTTTAAACTGAAGCTCCTTTTAAGAACATGAAGCTATGAACCTAAGTGATCAGGAAAATATGTATCACAAGTTATCTAACTGGCTAATTAGCCTAGCAATGTAAGAGCATGTAGAAAACTTGTTTCTCTTCTTTACAAAGACTAACACGTAAGTCTGGCGTTTATTTTTTAGGCATTTTCACCTGCTCACTGGTTATTTTCTCTTTTATGAATTGTTTTTTTGGGAAAATCCCAGTAGATCATCAGATTTTGAGGTGCACCTAACAAAGTGGTTGGTGAGCGTATATTCACCAGTAATTGGGACACGGTGTTTAGACCAGTGTTGGTGTGAATGGGTGAATTTAGCATGTTGTATAGATTGTTTTGAGTACTCCAGGAGAGTAGAAAAGCGCCATATAAGAATAAGTCCATTTACCGTACATTGCCTGCACTGAGATTGAAGAACTGGATTATCAGAGCAAACTCTGCTGTTAGAAAATAAATCATATGTAAATGCAAGTTTTGCAAAAGCTTTAATATAAGAGCTTTTAGCCTTCTCCCCTATCCGTCTAATGTGAACCATTACTTTAATTATCTGCTGTATTTTGTTACTGGGGAAAAAACGAAAAACACATTCGAGTTAACTGGCAACTAAGCTTAATGGACTGCCATTAAAGAAGCATGGTTTGCACAAGTAATAGCATTTTATAGGCTATTCTATATTGTGCTGGGAGCCAAACAGAGTGCTTTCAGCCCTGGGGTAATATGATGACATTTCCTGGTACCTGTTAGGATTCTGGCTGCTGCAATGTGAATGAGCTGAAGTCACCCTACTGATGATTTGGATAATCTGGCAAACAGAGCATTACAGTAATCTATCCTACTCGATATGAATGCATGGACCAATTTCTCAGAGTCAGTTTGAGACGATATTGATGCGATTATCAAAACTGAAACCCAGAATGACTGAAAGACTCCAGACTTGCTCGTTCATCAGAGGAAAAGGATAAGCACAACTATGTGTCATCTGCATAAGAATGGGAGGATATCTTATGATTCTTTGTGATAGTATCAAGTAGGAGTACGTAAAGGTTAATCAGCAATGGACCAAGGACTGAGCCTTGAGGATCCATCCATCCATCCATGCAATCAGGAACCTGACCCGGTAAACCCACTGTGTCATGAAGCCTTTGAATTAGAATGTCGTGGTGCTGAAAGCAGAAGTGAGTTCAGATAGAACTAAAACTCAGACTCTTTGTGAGCCATTATTGATGTTTATTGATGTTCTTTTTATTTTTTTACAGCCCTCTGTATCTTTAGCACCATTATTACATCCATACAATATTGATTGTAAATAAGGTTAGTACGTTGTTAAAGGAGGCCATACAAAAGGCGTCATACGTTTTTGTGCTCTGAGTGGATTTGAACCCTGATTGGTACTTATCATAAAGACTGTTAAATGTATATTTACTCAGTTTTTTGTAAACAAATTTTCCAAATTTTGTGAAAGGGAAGAATAAAATATTAGAAAAGGGAAATTATGTCAATATTATTTTTCTTAAATAGTGGTGTGATTATTACATATTTTAGAGAAACAGGGAAGATGCCAGTATGTGGAGAACTATTGATACTGACTAAATGATTTGTAAAACATGAGCTACAAATTTGAATAGTTTCATGGGAATGGAGTCAAGGAACAAGGTGTAGGACTTGATGAATAATTCCTTCCTGATCTTTAAAATTTAAAGCTGAGAATATGAGGCATTGCTAGGTAAATTACTGTAACAGACTAAGATATTACCTATGATATCATGAACATTGCTCTTGTAGAAAGAAAGAAATTTGTCACATTTATTTATTGAAAGAAATTCAGTTGGTATGGTTTTGGAGAGATTAAGTAGTTTGTCAGTGGATGAATATAGAAAAGCAGTATTAAACTGGTTTTCAGTTCAGAGATGTAGAGTTGTCTGGCTAATTTAATTTTATTGTGTATCAGTAAAATATATTTTTATAGAATAAAAAATTTATTTGTAGTTATTTTTTTCTGTATTTTCTCTCAGCTCTCCTTCAAATCTATGAAAAACACCAGATAGTGATCTTGAAGTGAAGCTAAAGGATAAACGAATGTCAGTCGTACAAGTGGAAGCTGGCTGAACTCCTACAAAGCGTAAATCAAAACCTGCTGGTGGCTCTCGTGAAAATCAGTCAAAGAATATTCTTCAGCATTAGGACTCATTCTCTGCAAGCCATGATTTTCTGCCCAAATGTTCATCAAACGTCCAATTGCTGAAACATTTTAAACATGTTTGCTATTTTCAGTCATGTCTAAAAATTATTGCATGCACAGACTGTTATTTACAGGACATGGATGTGTTTTTATCATTCTCTGCAAGCAGCCAAAAAAACTACAGACAGACCATTATTTCCACAACCATTTGTTTACATGTCCGGGACGACAGTTTGTGGAATGATAATCAGTTGTTTGGAAGTCATCCATGTTTTACAGAGGGCTCAGCGACAGACAGCTGCACTATGTGTGTGTGTGTGTGTGTGTGTGTGTGTGAAGATGACACTGACTTACTTATTCAACATTCTTGCGATTCCAAAGTCACCCAGCTTCGCTTTCATCCCTCCGTTGGTTAGGAAGATATTCTAGACCAGAGGGAGAGCAAGAATGAAAGGATGTCTGTGTTCAACAAGGAAGGCACTAACATTGTGTGTGTGTTTGTGTGTGTAAACGGATAAGACTGATGATAGACAGTGATGGCCATGAGTAGTCTGTGGTCAGTTGTTTTGAGATATTCTTGGAGCTGGCATACAGCAAGGTCTTTGTTCAATGCAAAGCTGACCTCAGGACAGTTCAGCTGTACAATACTGTGCAATGATAACACTAGATAATTATAAAACTCAACCTCAGTCTCTGTGGGTAATGTTTACCATGTAAATGTCCAATAATGAATATAATGCATGATGTAAACTCTGCATTGTAAAGCTCAGGTAAAGTGATGGTACTTGTTCAGTTTGGTTCTGAAAGGTGACTGTGATCACAATCCTTGTCTTTAAAAATGATAATCAGACTTACATTGGTTGTTGTCAGGACACAGACTACAGAAATAAATAACAGGTCTCGTGCATTTCTTTCACATCTTAGTCCAAAATCTATATGTAAATCATAAAAACATATAACTGTTCATGAGGAGGTGAATGCATGTGCAAGTTTGATCACTATTATTTGAAAAAACACCATTACTATATAAGGCCACCTGTTTTGTGTAATTTGTTGAAAAGTTCAAAATAGTTTACAAATACTGAACACAGAACAGCTTGTTTTGAATGAATTAGCTTTATATGTGATTGCAGGCTGTAGTGAAGCAGGTTAAATACTTGAGCTTTGATGTCTCTGTGGAGAATCTTCCGGTCATGGATGTGTTTGAGGCCCAGACAGATCTGAACAAACCAGTCGACGATCTAAGAAACACGCAACTCTGTTTTATTACTGTGGCATTTTCATATGGATAGAGAGCAAATTACCACCTAATGAAGAATATAAATGAAAACCTCCACAATTAATGTTCCGATTAGGCATAACAATGTGACCACCTGCCTAATATTGTGTTGGTCCCCCTTTTGCTGCCAAAACAACTCAGCCTAACAACCCATCGAGGCATGAAGGTGTGCTGTGGTATCTGTCAGCAAGATGCCAACAACAGACCTTCTAATTGTTAAGTTGCAAGGTGAGGGCTCCTTGGATTGGACTTGTTTGTCCAGCACATCCAGATGTGCTGGACAAACTTTGATGCCTCACAGAGACATCAATGTCCAATTGGTTTGAGATCTGGGGAATTCCGAGGCCGAGTTAACATGTTAAAACCCTTTGTTGTGCTCCTCAAACCATTTCTGTAACCATTTTTGTTTTGTTGCACATTATCCTGCTGAAAAGGCCATCCGGGAGTACTGTTTCAATGGTGCGGTTGGTCTGCAATAATGCGTTGGTAGGTATCTCATATCAAAGTAACATCAACATGGATGACAGGACCCAACGTTTCCCAGCAAAACATTTCACAAAGCATAACACTGGTTTGCCTTCTTCCCATAGTGCATCCTATTGCCAGGTGTTCGCCCAGGTAAGTGAGTCACACACACCCGGGCAGCCACATGAGGTAAAAGAAAACATGATTTGTCCAATGAGACCCCGTTCTTCCATTGCTTCATGGTTTAGTTCTAATGCTTACGTGCGTATTCCTGCCACTTTCGGTGGTGGGCAGGAGTCAGCACGGACACCCTGACTGGTCTGCAGCTATCCAGCCCCACACACAACAAACCGTGATGCTCTATGTATCTACAGTGGCTTGCAAAAGTATTCGGCCCCCTTGAACTTTTCCACATTTTGTCACATTACAGCCACAAACATGAATCA